AGAGAAAGAGAAGAGTAATTTGCCTCAACATTCTTGATAAGTGTTTGAAGACTAATAAGCTTCCTGTGAGGCCACCTCCTAATCCCCAGCTCCCTACACCTCTTTTTCAACACAGTTAAACCGACGTTTAGCTCTCGTGCAGCTAGTGTTATTGGCATGTAAAAGTACTGCGAAATAGTCTCTCTCGACAATTTTTTCGAACTACTAAACGCATTTTGTTCTTCATCCCTTGGCCGTTTGCCCGTGAGTTTCTTTTCCTCCATAGCTTTTGCCTCCAATAACACCAACTGCTGCTGATATTGCGGGTCGGGCACAAACCCGTTTTGCATTTGCTCATCGCAATAGAAAAAATCTGCAAAAAGAAAAAAATGGCAAAAATTATTGGAAAAAAAAAAGATTATTTTCCCATGATCATACCGGACGAGCCACCAATTTGATAAATTTATTGCTATATAATATACTTACATATTAAACCAGCATTGGTTAATACTAAAATTGATTAAAAATCTAATAAGAATGCGAACATAGTAAAAACTAAGTGTAGAACTTTTATTTTGCATAAAAATAATTGATAAAAATATAAAAATAATATATACAAAAAAAAAAGCATTGCTTACCTGGAACCAAAGAATGGTTTTGTGCAAGATCCACATGAGATGAACAAAAGAGATCTTTCACAAAGATTTGATCTTTATGCTGAAAATCCCACCAAGCCACATCTTCACAAATCTCATTGCTTCCAAAACACACACTAACACAAACCAAGAATTTTTTTTTTTAAAAAAAAACAAGAAAATAAGTTTGAGTTACAATGTACTATATAGTATTTAATTTGTTAATTACTATTACGAACAATATGTCTCGACTTAAACAAATTATATATACGGAAAATACCTTAAATCTAAAGGGTCCATTTGTGATGAACAGGAGAAAACATCATCATAAGCTTGTGTAGTTGCGATTATTTGTTGTTGATTATGATTCGACCATCCCATATTGTCCACATTAGCAATCTCCATATCTAACTTAGAAAATTTGCAGTTTGAAGGATTAATTTCAATTTTCAAGTAATGGGAGTGTATTTTAGATGTGCATGGTAAAAAAATAAAACAAATATACATGTATATATATAGATGATTAAATTGGAGTAAATAAATAAATGTAGGGTGAAAGTAATTATGGAGATTAATTACGTAGAAGATCGTGCGACGGCGTATGGATTAAACGTCCAGATACTTCGGCCAATGGCAAAATGTAGATGGATTTTATTGTGTTGTAAATACTATGATTATTGCTGCAAAACATGCATTAGTCGCGTTGGTTAGTGTGTGTGAACATGATTGTTTGTTGGCAGATTAGTTTTTTTTTTTAAAAAAAATCTGGTTAATAGATATGTTGGATTAATGAATGGATATTTACACTATCAAATTTTATATTTTGCTTATTATTTTGTAATATATGATAATTTATAGTGAAATTATGTGTATTTACAATTTTTTTTTTTTGAAAATATATATATATATAT